GGTGTTCATCAAGAATGGCAGTTTAACTCTTAAAAAAAAAACAGTCGTGACTGGTCAAAAGTTGATTGTAAAGATTAACTGGCGTCAAACTGTACTTCAATTGGCCAACTCCATTAACACTCTACAACAAAACGATGCGCAGAACATCAAAAAACTTAAACAACATACTGTATATGACAAACAAGCAGCTCTTTTCAATAAGAAGTTATCAACATGTATCTTCTTTTTTCATAAATCTATTGTTTTTAATTAAGCACAAAGCTACACAATGGGCTATCTGTGCTCTGCCCACCACGGGTATCGAAACCCGGATTTTAGCGTTGTAAGTCCGCAGACATACCGCTGTGCCACTGGTGGGCCATAAATTCATTTGTCTTACATGTACCACAGTTCTTCGAACATCGAGTCATAGAACATAGTACCATCGTTTGAATCTACTTTTTTTTCAGAAACCAGTCAATATTGTTAAAACTAAAGGATTATACTACATAGCAAGCATCAAAGCTAACCTAACGTTATTGTTTTAACTCATTTAAAGTTTTCACATGCAATAAACACTTGGGTGGAAGCATACCTAAGCTACCTGTAGTATCCAGGAGGAAGTGTTTTAAAATTGTTTTCGTAAGATTTGCTTGGGGAAATTTATCTATATTTGGAGAGTAACAGGTTATAGGAATTATCAGCCATGTTCATGTCTCTGTTGTTATCCTGAGCAACTATAAGAAAGTAAGCATCGTGTTTACCTTTTATTAAAACGTTTTATTGTATCTTGACTAGAATGTATTATTATTAAATGTTTGAACCATTATTGCTAGTTTATTATTGAAACACTATTGGTAGTTCAATACATATAAATGACTATGTTTTCTTTATTTTTCTTGCAGGTATCAAGACTACAGACACCCGCCAGGCAGTGACGAAAAGTACACATTATCTTTACAGTACTGGCATATATTTGCTGCTAGGTTGGCTTTTGTTGTAGTTTTTGAGGTTAGTTCATGAAACTCTTGTACATTTCATCAAATTTTTTATGTTATTGGACAATTATCTTTGAATGAATCTAAAAAGAGCAATATTAGCTGTTTAGTGTTTTAAAGAATTATTGCGCGACTTATTATTTATTTATTGAATACAGCACTAGTTTGAAGTTCTCTGAGGAATAAGCGTTTTTGTATAAAATAAAACTTAAGCTTTTCCATAAACAAACTTTGCCTTGCGTTTAAATATAGATATATAAAACAAACAGCTGCACGTATGCAAAAATACTACTTGATTATTTCGGTATAATTGTATTTAAATTCCAGTTCAGAATAACGAACTAGAGAAAGTTTCAAAACATTTTCTGAGTAAAAAACACTATAAAGATGAACAAAAGCTTTGAAATATTTAATTTTCGTGACGTAATTAGCGATATTGCTAGGAAGGGGGGGGGGAAGAGTGCTCCTGTTTTGTTTTTTTGGTGATTTCACAAGGGCTATCTGAGGCAGCTGATTAACAACATTCACCGTCAACTCTTAGCCTACTTTTATCAGATCAAATAGTGAGACTTGAACGTCAGTCTATTAACGAATCCATGTCACCAAAGTGAGGAGCGCGATTTTGGTTTTGCGATAACGGAATTCGAATCATTATCCGGTTCGCTAAACATTGGGCCACGATCGGTCTCATGTGGTCTTGAATAGAAACACCATTTAATGTGGCTTCAGAATATCAGGACTAACATTTGTTGTTGATAAGGTTTGAATTTACATTTTCTTGACCTCTTTGGTCTAGCAGTTTTACCGATTGACTGCTGATTCGCTGTATCATTGCCGCGTATGACTTGCAAAAATTCCGCGATTGTTTAGAGCAGCCGCAGTCAATGGGTTAAAATACAAAATAATGGTTATGTTTTTAAATACAATGTATTTTTCAAAATATATATTTTTCATACCTTTTTTTACATATATAATTTTCTTCTCATGTCTGTATTTCTTAAAAAATTGTTGATTTTATATTTTTAGGAATTCTTGTTTTATTACGCGATTTCATAACACTCCGATTACATCTGTATCATTTATTTATTCTTATATCTTGCGAATGTGAGTTTACAAATATCAAAGTTTTCTATCAGACAGCATTACACAATATTAATAAAACAGAGATTTTATAGTTGAAAGAAAAATTCGAAAGTTGGTCAAATAGATCTTCATCCCGACTTATCTTTTAATTTAAACTATTTTTTCCCTTCTCCCCAGGTGGGTCAGCTGTAAGGTTCGATTTCCTACGGTGAACAGAGTACAGGTAGCGCATTATGTAGCTTTGCACGACAAAAACAACATCTGAAGATGGTTGTTCAGTCTAAACGTTAACCAATTTTAGTCTCGCGGTGGGTCAAATATAAGTTTGCGAACGCTAAACGTAGGGCTCGATTCCTGCGGTGGACGGAGCTCAAATAACCCATTGTGTAGAGTTTAGGTAAAGCAACAATAACTATTTTCCTGTACCTTTTTCTACTTTATTTATATTTGCACCCAGTAAGCTAGTAGTAAGCTTGAGAGTTTATACGCCCGTGTTTATCCCGTGTGGGATACAGTGAAGATAACCCAATGTGTTGCCCCTCGGTGGCTCAGCAGTATACCTAAAGGCTTATAACTCTAAAAATCAGATTTTGACACTCGTGGTGGGCAGAACACGACAGCCCACTGTGTTGCTTTGTGCTTAAACAACAAACAAAATATTTCCTTCACATTTGAATTTGCTTATTTTCGATTATTTACTCTTAAGTGATGAAGTGTTAGAAACATCGGATCTTTGTGTATTTGCAGCATTTGGTCATGTTTATTACCAGTCTGTTGTCTTATGCTATTCCCGACATCCCTCGCTCAGTGCAGGGAGATAATTCTAAATAGTGCTATATCAGAAGAAGTAATAATTAGATGAAAACTACTTTAATTAAGAATGGTCATTACGTTGACCACAACCACTACGTTTCAGGCCTCTCGTCCATCTTGAACGGTTCATCTCCGCCCGGTAGAGGGCTTCCTGTGCTAAGATACGTTCTCTTTGAATACTCTGGTACCGTATTTATTTTCAAACTCTTGTATTTTTCATTGTTTTCAGTATTTTACATGTTTCATTGAATCATGTCGATTTTTGTTTAAATTCATATAAGATGAAATTTGATCTTTCAATACATTCTAAAGTTTGTAATTAATTCTTATAAAATCTAGACTTACATTTAAGCATGTAGCGGACGGGGTATTTGAGAGTATTGTGTTGAAAACGTATATTTTGCAGTTGTCCAACTAATTTATTTAACTGTATGAAATGTTATTAAAGTTTATTTCAAGTAAGTATTAATGTAAAAAATTATACACTAATTAATTTTTGTTTGATTAATAAAAGATGACGTTGGTGGTTTTGTTTTCTTACTCTGTCCACAGTTGCCCTCTGGTTGCTCAGCGGTAAGTTTGATGGATATAATGCTTGTTTGTTTGTAATTAAGCACAAAGCTACACAGTGGGCTATCTGTGCTCTGCCCACCACGGGTATCGAAACCCGGATTCTAGCGTTGTAAGTCCGCAGACATAAGGCTGTGCCACTGGAGAGCGGTTATAATGCTAAAGATCAGTTTTCGATACTTGCGTTGGGCGGAGCACATATAGTCCGTTGTGTTGCTTTGTGTTTAACAAGAAACAGATTGTCCATAGTTTAAACAAAGTGCAAACTTTTTTATATAAAACAAAACTCCTGTTTTTATATTAAAATACTTCTTGGGTGTTTTATAAAAAAAATTAAGTTGAAGATTACTAAATTGTTTTCGTTATTTTATTATGAATTTTAGAAATGTACAATTGTTAACTTGGCAAAATTATTCACTAGTTAGCTATTTGATGAAAATGTTGTCCAATACTATAGTTTAGAATAATCTGTGATAAATTATCGTTTAAAAATTGAAATTGAAAGGTATATACTGTTTTGTTTTTTTTCATTTCTAGTATTAATAATTATTTGTTGAACAATTCAAAATATGTTTCTACAAATCATTTGTTGGTTTCAACTTTAAATACCTAGAATATTGTTTAGTTAAGGTGAAATTGTAGGCGTATATTATATTAAAATAGGAAACATAGAAATAGGAGAGCACACAGAATATACAAAAAATGAGTTAATCCTGGTAATCTTACTATTCGTTTTATTTGTTGTACTTGAAGAAAAACCTTACAATTGTTATTGGGCCTGTAGACCAATGGTTAGCTTGTAGGGCTTGAAGAAGTTTTTTTAAATCTTATATTTGCTTATTAGGCTTGAAAAAAATTGTCTTTACATATTGGACATGACGAAAAATCTTATTTTTGCTTGTTGAACTTGACGAAAATTTTTATCTTTACATGTTGGACCTGAAGAAAAATCTTACGTTTTGATATTAAAGATAAGATGTTTAACTATAACTGCAAGAAAAATTGATTGTCATGAAAAGAATGTTTGTTGTTTTTGTTCATAATTTACCTAACATTAAGAATTGAACAATCATATTTAAACTATTGAATTTATGGAATTGTTGATAAAGGTCTTTTACTCTACTGACTATTCTAATTATATTTATATAACAGACATCAAGTCGAGTTTTACCATAAATAAAAATTATATTGTTATCTTATCTAAGCGTATATAGTTGCAGTAGTGTATGTGAAGGTGAGTCCAAAGTGTTAGTTGAGTCGAGAACAACCAGAACTGCAAGCTTAGAATGCACAAGGTCATTAAACACACGTGGTGCACTTTCTGTACTTCTTTTAAAGAGTAACTCACAAGTTATAAAACCGGTTGGGAAATAAATCTGTATTCTAACAAATGACGAAGTTGTCAGAGTCTGCTATTCAGTGATTCCACACACATATATATATATGTAAATGGCCTAGTGTTTAGTGTCTTATCTAAGCTGTGATACAAGTTTTATATACTCAAACACAAAGATTTTTTACTTGTCAGGGGATTGTGAGGTGTAATTATTGGGTGAAGCAAATTACTATTTCCATGCTGCTGTTACTCATTGTACTGAACATTATTCGCACAATATTCTCAGAATTATTACTTTGTTAACAGTAACATAGAGTAAAACATTTAAGTGGTTAATTCACGAGCAGGTATGGTTAAACTCTCATGGTTCTTCGTAATCCTGAAAATCTGTTTGCTCAATAATACTTCAAATCGCACCCGCCACTTTTGGTATATATTGTGATTTAAAAGTAACTACACGTTTCCCTTTACAACAGTATAGTCTTTTCATTAAGTCAATTACATCAATAAGATGTATCACAGTAAAATTCAATGTTCATTCAAACTGATTTAAGTCATTTACATCATTAAGATACATCATAAAAATCCATTGTTCGTTCAGTTTGATTTGATAACATCCGAGTTCATGCGCAAACTACGATTACACAATCTAATTTGAATTTATATATTTGGAATTCACTAAGATGATGTGATAGTGATTGAAAATATAACAATATTAACTCAGGAAAACACAAACTGACTTATTAAGAGTTAAGCGTATAATATAGTAAATAACGGTGATCTCAATAAACGAAAATTTCAGATAAAGTTCACCGAGTAATTCATAATTCAAAGCATGGTTTTTTTACTGTCACGGTTATAGCCCTGATATTTCTAAACACTATTCAAACATAGATATGCACTTATTTTATCGTTCGTGACAGCAAAGGTTATGAAGTCTCAGTTACTCATGGTGAAAAACGGTTAAATACAAACTTGAAAGAATTCTTACAAAATTAATTGGAGATGCGCTATTTTTTCAAGTCCAACTAGCTATTTATAGAGAAGTTTTTAAATCTTCAAAATAACAATACCAACAAGAGAAAAACTCAGGTCGTTTAGCTAAGAGAGAAAATTAGTTGACTAGTCACTTTCTATGAACAAGTTCGTATCGAATATTATAAATAAATTTTAGAATTTACTCACTATAAATTTTTATACCTGTTAATGTGTTAAATCTCTAGTTAACAAGAGGATATTTAAGTGCTTCTCTAGTTCTACCATCAGCTTAAAATCAATGTGAATAACAAAGAAATGTAATACAGGTTAATCAAATATAAAAATAAAAAGTAGTTCTTTAATTTGTTGCAAGGGAAAAGAGAGATGTACGGTCAAGGTTTCGGACAATAATTTTCATTGTGATCTTCGGACTGTCACGACGGTTTTCACATTGCTTTGAAAGAAAACTCTTGTAATGATAGTGGAGCAAGTGTCTATGTAGTGTATTTTGTTGCTCACATATTCAGTGCTATGGACCTAAGCTTGATTATTTCCAACTTGTGTTTCATTCAAGAGCATCTTACTTCCGTGTATTGCGCGAAAACCTCGTTAAGTAATTCAATGCTACTTTTTTTACATCATTTAAATTTTAAAGGCTGTCATAATCAGACGATTCTTCTTTATTGGGTAAATAATTTAATTGGGGCCAAAGTGATCCTCCCCAAATCGGGTAAACCTTCAGTAACTTTTATGCATAAGATACATTTTGCATTACAACATTAAAATAAAATAACAGCTAGAGGTGGGATTTTCAAAGAAACAATGACAGAAAACTCACCTACAGTTAACGTGGCATCACATATTGCATAAAAAATAGTACAAAATGTTGAAATACACCTTCTGGTGACGTCATATAAAAAATTCAAACCATTAAAACTATCTGCAGCGGCCAAGTGATTGTTTGAGGAATGAGAAAACCTCTACTATGGAAAGAATTATAAGACACTTCTATATACTGAACACAATTAACATCTTTTCAAAACAATGAGCTGAGTTTAAAATTAAGCATTCTATTACAGTTATGTTCCTTACTTCTAGAAAATAGTTAATAATGAGGATAACTGAGGATTCTGATACAGTTAAATTCCTCAGTTCTCTAATATAGTCTAATATATCGTAATTATGATAAATTCAAGTTGCAGCGCTACCTGTGGTTGTTATGTTTTCATAAATGTGTTCAACATGTTTTATACACCTATACCAACTGACAAAGCTGTAGGTAATTATACGTTTATACCCTAACTTGTTTTGTGCCATCCCTGTATATTCAAACTCGTCCACATATGATGAGCTCAGATCTTTCTAATAAAATATTATTTCTTGTATACAGAACATTTTACCATATTTTTCTACAAAAGTGGTTAATTTTTCTAAGTCCTTAAAAAATGTATTAAGAACTCAATCAAAATATCCAAGAATGAGCAACTACGTTACTTACTGTTCCAAAATCATTTTTATCACTTCTTACTTGAGACTACAAAACCTTTTAGTGTCTAACGAACTTAATGAAGTCACTAAAAAGTGTTTCTAACAAGAGAAATGAATATATTATTGAAACCACCTTTCAGAGTAAGCTAATTTTTTTCACATGAAGAGACGTCTACTTAAAAAATTATAAGGACACTTGTACTAAGGTTAATTTTCTTGTTCGTTCCTGTGAGCCTTTGGCGGTGTTTATGAAGATACATGCATTGTTTTGAATTCTACTTCTGCAAGTCACAGTTAAAGCTAAATCACTGAACATCATCTCTCTCCCTCAGACTTCAAAGTCCAAACTGATGAAAAAGCAGACTTGGAATTTAATAATGGAAAATTAATAAAAAAATAACTTATTTTTAAATCATTTATTGCGTATTGTTGAATCCTAAAGCTAGGTGTAATAATTACCAATTTCATGCCCGTCAAAAATTAATTATTTACATAGAAAAATTTATAATTTTTTCTTAATAAAAAACATTTACCCGCCATTTGTTATAAATAGTATTTATTATCTTTTTTTTTCTGCTTTCTTATAATAGAGTTTACGTGTATGGTGTCTTTCTACATCAGCATCAACGCCACACTCGACGTAACG